AATTATCCACTTAACCCCACAGTGATGATGCCTTCTCTTTTGCTAACGAAACGCTTGCAACCCTACTATCGAGCTCCTCAAACAGAGTAACAACTATGGTTTACTGAAAGCTCAGCGCAAAACGTGTACCGATTAGCTGAGCTGGCTAGCAGCAATTGTTTTTCTGGTGGTCAGTTATCTACATTCCCATCAGCTGTATGAAAACAAGTACCTGTATTGATTTGAACTTGTGATAGCTCAATAGCTAGAGCGTTCACTTACTGACCGGAAGGTTCGTGGGGTGTATCGAGCAGTGATAACTCAACTGCTCCTGACAGTATCTCATCCATCAAACTTCCTCCGCGTGGCATGGTAGCAACGCACAAAAAGGGTGTCACAGCTGAACCATTGTCATTTATTAAAACGTGTTGTTTTGTTTCAGCCCACGGTCGAATGACATCGTATTGATGCTGAGATTTCATGCCAAAGTTTAAAAAATCGTGCAACTCGGCACCCAGAGACATTCAGTTTGCAGTCAAACCGTTCATATCAAAAGATACCGGTCAAAATGAACAAGGTAATAGAACTGCAAAAGTAAATTTTCGACGGATCTTACAGGACTCCGAAAACCTACACTTTCTATTTGGTTATTCAGTTTTAGTTTCCTTAGCAGACTTGCTTAACCTCAATTTCAGAGCACATAACATCCCGTCAAGCGTTAACTGCGTTAAATTTGCCCTTTTATTAAAGTATGCAGATATAAATGAGACCAACTCAGTCGTGCAGCCTGTCGGCGATTCTGTGCTGTGTTCAACCGTTGTGACAAAATGATTCAGTTAGGCGCGCGGTTTTTTTAATGTTGTTTGCATCCTTTGTTGAGTTTTTTGGTATTTACCAGGTGCGCAACCTAAGTTCGATTTTTAAAATGAAAGCTCACACGTGAATACTAGATGTTAGTTTTTGAACAGAAGCGGAACGTTGAGATATAAAATAGATGGATTTAGAACCAGGTCGACACGGTAGAACAGCTTGGTGAAATGCATCCGATCGTAGCCCCGACTGATAATCTCATAGGATCTAGCCGCATCAGGAGAAAGTAAGAAAATAAGTGGAAAAATACATATTGTGAATCGGATTTGAGCCGATACAGACAAAAGAGGACCGAGGCTAGAAGTTTATATACATACTGCAAATGTGGATGGCGGCTAAACATAAAGTTGCATGCTCTTAGCGATAAGCTTATTTGCGTGAGACTTTTAACAAGTGACGACGACCCTTTCACAAACAAATACTGACTTCCGACCATGCTTGCTTAATGTCGTTTGCTCTGTTAATGGTAGGTTTTTGGCTTAAACATCCTCAAATCAGTCTGAAACTAGACCGGATGTGAAAACGCACAAGAGCCCCAGACGAATCCAGCTCCAGTGAAAAAAACTAGACATCCATCATAGTCTGGGAAGAAATCAGAACCCCGACTAAGGACGAATAACTAAAATCAACCCTTGCTGCTCCAAGAACAAACGGAACGAAAAATGTTTTTGGGCAACAAAACAAACTTCATCGTCTTGTATGTATCCCGGTTTGGCGTCACAACAGCTAACTATTTGTCAAGTTCAACCTAATGGGATGAAACTAAGCTTAGATTTTACTATGTCTGTGAAAACAATTGTGTCTGGTCACACACCAGTAATATCATTATTAACAGTGCCAAATTGATCTGGATCTCTCTTACTGAAATGATGAACCATTGGCGATGTTACCAATTAACAGTGCCAAATTGATCTGGATCTCTGTTACTGAAATGATGAACCATTGGCGAGGCGATGATGGTTACAATGATGACAATGTTGGGCTGGAGGAGAAGGAGGATCTGTCAGAAGACGAATTCTGCTGTAAGTCTGCAATTTTCAGGGACGGTATGTAGTAGTTAAGCAATCTGGTATGTACCGATTTCCTCCTACAAGGAAACTACCCTCTTTTCTGACGCTCACTTCGACTGAGCTAAAGTTTTCGGACGGTTACTCACTTTTCAGTTAATTTTCGCGATGAATTTAGAACATTAGGATTATTGATAACCTGGGCCTCCCCAGAAAAAACTCAACCTTCCACTAGATACCAAAAAATTAGATGCACACTGATAGCGCCGAACATCTATCGGTTTTGATATGGCTATCGATTTTTCGGCATCTGGGTCAATTGACATCAAATCATGTATCTACGAGTATGTGAACGTGTGTGCACTTGTGTTTGGGGCAGAATCGCAGTAAATCACAGGTGAACTGTATCCACTGTAAACTATTCACAGGGATACGGAAATCGATCTCACAGATATCTACTCTGTGACATCAAAATCGCCTTTGGGTTCTTCGTCTAGCAATTCTTTAATCATCTATCAGTAGGTGGATAGTGGTAAAGCTTGTGGCGAAAACTTTCTTTGAGGGGTAGCTAAACAACAAAGTCTTTCTGGATTTGAGCATCAAAGACTTCAGAATTATATTCCTATGTATGAACACACTAACCACTCTGTCAAATGATATTCAAGAGGTTTGTGTTTCTGACGGTTTCAAAGATGGAAATACCCGGCTATACACCAGTGGGAAAACTTTTGGTGTTAGTGCACCCATGGCAAATTCAGAAGTGGGCATCATTTTAAAGCAGAAGTTTGTGGACCCAAAGGCCGACTACAAAAGGACGTTGACTTTGTGTACAATACCGTAAATGTGAGCTGCACTACTGAGATGTCTTATATGATTATATGAGCTATGAACAATAAACTAACGGCTGCCCAAGAATTAACATCCCTATTGAGGGTCAGCCGACTGGCTGTGACCGCTTTTCAAGGCTGATTCCATTTTGTAAATGGAGCCAGTCCATGTTAAATAAACGGGAAGCATGGTACAACAGCTTCGTTCTTGTTTGGAACCATTAGCAGTGCATATCTCGCGGAAATTCGGGTAGTATAGAATACTTTGCTGTCTAGCTACAAGTGGACGGTTGATGGTATGATTAACTTTCACTCAGACAAGAGATAGCGTTATGCTCTTCTTAAAGACGGAATCCCCATATACTGACTGCCTTCTAGAATAAGATTTTACAAGTGGAATCTTCGCTGAGCTTGCAAAGCGATACTCATGGTTAAAAGGTTAGATTTACCGAGATTTGTTACTATCGGACCGCTGCAAGTAAAGGTATTGATGAAAAGTTGGCGGGAATGAATTCCCGTGGTTTGGATGCGACGGCAAAACAAAAAAAGATGATGCGAGATTTGTTACTATCGGACCGCTGCAAGTTAAGGTATTGATGAAAAGGTGGCGGGAATGAATGCCCGTGGTTTGGATGCGACGGCAAAATAAAAAAGACGATGATATAAACCATATCTGTACCCGGGTTTTCGCCACAACCCGTAATAACGCACAAGTGTCATAAGGTCAGCTATTCTGAGAAAGTACGGTCATCAAAATGAAACTTTTAGTTCTGACATGACTTGTTTGCTTTATTTGTCCTGGTTTGTACCACGCAAACCTGAAGTGGGATCACGGATTAGTCGCCAAAATTCTGACAATCTGGTTGGGCAACAGAGACGGTCATCAAAATGAAACTTTTAGTTCTGATAGAGGTGATGAGTTCCACACACGGTTAAAATACCATCCAATGTTTAGGCACTGGTCCTTCTGGAATGGGATTCCTGTGTGATGAGCAACATCTGAAACGGGCTATCACGAACGGGAGACTCATCTGCATTCAGCGAGGTCTCTTATGAGAAAGAAATTCGGGTGAAAAGAAGAGTATTCAAAATTAAGTAACTTGATATGAACTTCAGTAAATACTTAACTTGATAGCTCGAATATATTTCCCAGGATTCTTCTTTGAGGAAATAAGAAATAACTCATTATGTTGAACATTTTTCGCATTTTTCTAAAATTGTTTTGTTTTCAAAAAACAATTCTTGTTAGTTTAACTACCTCTTGTTTGACGACGCACTGTTAGTCAGCAACAACCAGTGACCTTAATCCGAATATTGATCAGGAGGTCAGGGAGTTAGAGACAATTTCAAGTGCTTGGCAAATATGTCAACTGTTTACAGAATTGTAGACGTAACAACGGGCCATTCGTGTTGGAAACCGCCTTGGTAAAATCCATTAGGTGACCTTTCAGAGTGAAACGGTCTACAAGGAGTTCCAATAATATAATGGTAGAGGGTTTAATTTTCCATCGAATAAAAGTTTGGCGGTAAACTACTCCTCGATTGGCGTAGAATCCGACCATCTCCAGAAGTTTTGCAGTGGAGACATGTGAGAATGACATGCCCTCTTTTTCCTCAACAGCTTCCGTGATAGATCCTCTCCTTGCAAAGACTAACCTACCGTTTTTTCTCGCTTGAGCGCATTATGGTTCCCGAAATGACACTTGATGATAAGAGGCCAAAATTGAACCGGGCCGACGACCGACACGGATACTGAGGTAGTCTTAAAGCTACCCAATCGCAACATCGTATTGCTTGTTCGCTTCGGCAGAGGGCAACATTCATTAGATTGATGCGGAGAAATGGGCACCTAATTCTTATCGTTACGGTCTGCGTAAGAACATTTCCGAAAGTGTTTCATCAGAGGAGATTATTGCTGCGCTGAGAAAGTGCCCGTCAGTTCTGTGCGGTCCTATTTTTATCCAAAAGTAAACATCGGAAATTCTTTAGATATTTGACATACTACCAAAAACACAATATCCATTACCCTAGGATTGCTTCCTTCTACATGATTCGTGCAATTGATTTTGCTCCGTGGATTTGTGTTTTGTGAATTAACCGAATACCAATGGCGTTTTCCACAAATGCACTCATTTGTAAATCAATTTGGTTTGCACGAGAGACTCAACTGAACCTCTCGTGTTTGTTATTGATGCCAAACGATCAAGCAGTTCATTCTGCGGACACACTGCCGGATCCAGGGTAAGTATATACGCCCCTTCACAACAGTAATTCCCTATTTGAACTGAATACATCTGCCAGGACTAAGAGAACTCACTTGTTCTTTCTTCTTTGAGAGTCTCTCACAACGTTTGAACGATAATAGGTCATTGCTTGGCTGATTTGCGGGAGGGACGCTATCCACTGAATTGGACAGTGACGGGATTCGTTTCTTCTTCGACTTGACCTTCAGTTCTGCACCCACCGTCTTATCCTCATTCACTGTGAGTTTTGTCAGCTCTTCACTCGATGGTCTGTGTTCTTCTTCCGTTGTTACACTACTTCCTGTGATTTGATCAGAAACACGATATCTCCTGTTATCCAGACTACTACTCATATCATCATAATCAAGTCCTGATCGCTGAGCAAGTTGCTTGCGTAGAACTGTTTGCTTCTCAACTGCAGCGTGCAAATCCCGAATGGCAGCAAGGAGACGGGATTTCTGTGACTGTCCAGTCGTCGGTAAGTTTGTCGTCAGCGTAACAACGGGATTCTCTTTCACTGTTTGGCCACACATATCTTCCCCATTATCCGACCCCGTGTAGTCAGCCTCATCGCTAACATACTCGCACTCGTATTTTTCAATTTCCTCATTTCCTTCTGCTAGGTCGAGAGTGTGCGACCCACGCCTCTTGAGGACGTCTTGAATAAACAGTTTGTTAAAGTTGATTGACATCGTTTCGCTACTGTCCTTCAGTAAAGCATAAACACATAAGTGGATGAACCGCTTCAGGTCAACATGCACCACATTGCTAATTACACCAACGGCTACAGAGTAGGCGAACAAATAGTGCAGAAACTGGTTTTTGCGCACACGGTATTAGGTCTAGGCTATCACGTGCCAGGTTGACCAGCCGGTCTTTCCCTCATATGTCCCTCTATCACAGTGGTTGCACCAAAGAGTGCGCATGTTTCGGGGTCGGCTGTGGATAATTTGGATGGGTGTGCATGCGCAACGCGTATGCACTTGCACGCACGACTACTGGTATCACTCCCAAGCACACAGGGATCATCCACATTGAAAAGGTGCACAAACGGCGGAAAATTGGTGGATTACACAGCGCATTGTTTTTACTCAGTTCCTTCAAAGCTGTGTCATACGCATCTGGCATGCCCACATGGCAACAGACTATGTAGAATTACAGTATACGTCACTCTGATGAGACCAAGCTATATGGAGTCTTTATTGTCGGTCAACCGATCGGTATGAGCTAAACAGTTTCACAATGCGGGCATGTAACCTCTGATGATGGGGATTAATAGTCCAGCTTGGCGATGATCCCCTGGCTGGTGAAGACGACCGCCTTCAGATTCCAGGTCAAAAGACTCCTTGAATGAGGAATCTTGTAGGACTGACCATTCATGACACATTGAAAATGCTGTTTAAATGCAAAACCTAAAATGAATGAAAGTGATTCATCTAAACTGGAGCTTCCCCAAGCCCGCCTCCCTAAAATAACAAGTCCTCAGTTGGCACCTCTTTGTCCGGTTCTGTCAGTTTTCTGTTGGTACCATAATAAACACCAGTCAATGGAGATCGATGAATTTAGACAAATTGGACTAAAACAAAATCTTAAATGAAACGAAAATAGTCTTGCACATTCGTTGAAATACTCGGTACACACCTGAAAGAACGAACCTGAATGCTGCTAATATTGGTGTGGCAGGACCCCAAAAATCTGAGCCACATGACTTCTGTATTGTTGGCACTCATCAGGGGAACGTAGAGAGATTGAACACGTGAACTCCGAAAGAATTAATGATCGACCCGACTGAACAATCCTCCAGTTTGCCAGTCGTTAAAGTGATTCTCCACATTTACCGAATGCTTCGTAGAACAGCCACCTCCATAAAGCGATCGTATTCTGATTGTCTAATCGGTTTTCTGGTGGGGCTATATTACTGTGAGTTTCTACCTTCTTGAAAAAAATTATTCCGATACTTTTCCAGTTAACCACTGGAAAAGTGAACAGAATACAGCATCTCTGTACCAACTCCTCGCTTAAAGAAACCGTCTCCTGCCGGTTCGCGTGGTAATCGCCGTAAATGCTTTCTCTCCTGATGGATATGATCTATTCATTATCATCACTGAACTTCAGGTCTCCAATAATTGTGTACTTGAGAGAACTAAACAATAAGGGCGACCCAATGGTGTTAACCGACCAAGGAAAGCCATATGTTTCCTTTATGAAAATATACTGCGATATCTCGAATATCGTGCCAACTGTATCATGGAACGGCCTGTGTGCCGCACATTCAGTTGTAGAATATCATGAGCGAGAGCTTCAGTTGAGTCTCTCGTGAAAACCAAAATGATTTACGAATGAGTGTATTTCTCGAAAACAGTACCATCTGGGTTGAATTAGAACATAAGGTTGACGGAAACTCGGGGATTGCGCCTACCTGATGAAGGGCAAACCCGATCGTTGTCTGTCGAAGAGCTTTCAGCAACCTTGTGAGTAGTCTCCCTTATGAAAAAGCCATGTATTGTTTATATAAATTGATATTACGTCGTACAACTCTCATCGATCCCAATGTGGTCCCAGAAGTTTTATCGTTGAACTAATCTATCCACTGCTATCTCGAAGCCCACTGTGTTCTTCCACTGAAGAATGAGATAGAAGACGTTATATCCGATGTTGACGGAGATCTATGATCACTACGCGATCACTACTAAACGACAGGCTAATTTAAGTATTCAGTATGACAGGGCATGGATAATGAGCACGTCGAACTCAGTGCGGTAAAGAAAAACCAAAGCTTGCGCCGGATAAATAAAAAAACGACAAAACGCATACCTTTCTGGTCCTTATAACTCGGCTCCCACAAAGTGCCCTCAGTGACAAACACGTTCACCAGGTTAGGATTTATTGCAAACTGTATGCAGCTGCGCACCCGTACATCAGATAAAATTCGCTAATGTGATGCTGAGCTACGAGCCAATAATAGTGGTGTACAAAAACGAGTGGTAATCAAACTGAATGGGTTGACAAACTGGGCGTGCTTTGGTATCTTACATACATTTGTTTACTCAGTAATATATGAGTTAGCGCAAATGGATTCGAAGAGCGGAAGAAGATTATAGAAGGAACAATTCTGAATAGCGAATAAGAAAGCTACACAACCCCGGCAGACCTTGATGCAAGGATATGAAAAAGCAGGAAAGGTGAAATGATTTCTCTGGTGACAAGCCAGTCATAATAGACCATCCTCATCGATCCCCCGGGTAATTCAATCAACAAACACCACCACAGGGTGCAAGCAATTATAAGGCCGTTGGTGTTTTCCGATGTCATCAGATCCGAACATTCGAAGTTGTCACGTGAATAACTGAATTTCTGAAGTGTTTCTATTTGATCTAATATGGTTATAGGGTGTTTATTATCCTTCAGTCACTTCACTTCAATCGTTCGAGCAATGAGTACGCTTCATCTAAACTTGAGTTACGCGGTTATCGTGGATTAAACTAAGCAAGTTCCAAGGTCACCATTGTGCTGCTTTTTGATGCTCAGTAGCGCTCATCACCAAGTCAGGTAGATTGACGGCGCACTTGGGAAAGCATGCGATTCGTTATTATCACTGGACAGAGCAGAGGACACGGGCGCCCAGGGCACACAATGACTGCAAAGCAAGGAAGTTCGCATTACAAAAACTTCTGTTAAACAACGTTCTAGTTGTTCGTACACCGCTGATATAATCGGAGGCTGCCGCAATCAGCACGAGGCAAATTCAGCTACACGCTAAAACACCTCAAGTACAAAACAGCCTACTTAATTAACATTCATATATGCTCCCGCATTCGAAACATCCAAATAGAATGTAGCTCCTCTTTTGTTCACCTTTCAGTTATCATGAATGCATAGCTAACTGGAAGAAGTTTCACGGAATCACGAAAGGAAGAAAGTGATGATTAACGATGATTAGATGCATACCTGGACAGTCTAGACCACCTGTTCTTTACTGGCATGGTACGAGATGAAGATGATACGATGAATCAGATCGGCACCTGATTTGTGGATTTAGTTATTTATCGCCCACTGACTTAATACTATGAGGCTGGAGGAAAAAGATCAGTGTGAATTTTTCCATTAATCCAATCAAAACACACCTCTGGTTTTTCTATACAAAGCAAGTAAGAAAATGTTAGTTCAACGTGATCACTGTCTGGTTCACACTATATCCGGCTACCGCATAGTAGACGCTCAGGCTTTTTTGCTAACAATATCAAAGGTTGGACGGTTGGAAAGGAAAGTACTGAGCCCAACCTGAACAAATATATACTTAGTTCCCTTGAGTTTTCCTTTGTTGTTTCTTTGGACCCAGCAAATTCCAAGATTTTAGAAAATTTGTTTTATTGGTTCATCTAATTGTTTTCGCACCAGAAACCGACTCAATGAGTCTCTATCCTCATTCCACAAATAACTGCAGACTAGTTTGGTTTCCACAAGTGAATTAACTTAATGACAAATTAACCTCTCGTCTATACCGTTTTTCTTCATGTGAATGTGCTTCATCAGGCCGCATGATGTTTAACATGGTAGGATATTCGAGAAAAAGCATTAGATGTAACACACTTTAATATGGTGGCAGGGACTTGAGTAACCTTTTGAGAGATATGTCGCGGTCCATAACCTGGGTTGGTATCCTCATGATCAAGCTAGTCTACGGGAAGATTGGGGGATAATCTAATGTTTGCCCCTTTCGTCCCTAGACGATCAGTTTTGTCAGTAGTATAACAATCGCCTAGCAAGGTAACATACACCGCAAAGAAGACGCGCAATTTTTACCGTTCATCAATCTTGCAGACGCTGAGCATAGACTGTGGGAGGCAGTCAGTAAAAGATCATCTTTGATTTAACAAGCTGTGCGTAAATCGGTGCAAGACCATTTCAACAGTGCTACTTTCACAAGATTACGCGTGCAGCGACAGACGAACTGCATCCTGATCCTTGTTTACTGTTCAGTTTGACATTTTCATAGAAGCAACTGTATTTAGTGTAAGGCATCACCCAATCAGTCATTTTTTGTGCTGAACATGGTGTGGATACTGAACTCTTGTAGCTCTATTCTGACATCTGACCTACTTGATCAGAAACAGCGGTGGTAGATAAGCTTGCACTCCCAAAATCTGATCTATTGACGATAATCATGGCCACTCGTCAGTGACTGGAGTTCGGCTAACAAACTACCTTGGTTCGTGGCAACCATATATTCTTCAGTGCCGTGGCCCAGCAGACAGGTGGCCAACTAATATCTGATGATAGCACGCAACCTCTGGTGTTAATGCTGGGATCTTTCAAGCACAGTCACTACGTCTGATTGTGTATTATCCGCTACGGAGCATAGTAACAAAGCCCTAAACAGCTGAAATATGCTCTTCGGCAGCGTGGCCTAACTCCAGAGAACTCAATGGCAAGGCATCTGGATACTTGTATAAGAAACAGTGAAATCGCTGTCTTTTAGTGGTAAATAGTATCATTGTCTGTTATTTTCTCGAAAAACGATGACGGAACGTCGAAGAAGTGATTTGATTCACGGCGCTCTTTACACCAAAAATGTTCAGCGTCTTCTACGGAGCTAAAAAATAACTATATTCTTCGGTTTGAACAAAGTAACGAGTAGATATGTGTTATTCCTGAGGCTTGTCCAGAAGAGCAACGAGGAGGTCCACATATCTGGAGTTCTACTGAGGTCCCTTACAGACATACTAACCCAAAGTACATAATTGACATGATCTAAATTGAGAAGTTACGTCAAAGTGTAATCTA